CTGTACCAATAATCTTCTTCGTCATATGATCCCCAAACAAGTAATAGCCAGAGAAAAAGTAGACAAAACAATTAAGGTCACAAGTGAGTTCACAAAAAGAAATCAAGTTAAAAAGCGTCGAAGCAAATGTAAAACAGAAGCTAAAGGGATAGAGGGTGTGGAATTAATGACGTCATATCCAAGAATAAAGGATGTTGATTTATATGCGAAAGTGACAGCCAGAGAAGGTGCATGTGACAAAGAAGTAGGAAATAAGCTAGAATTGTATGTCAAATGGGTCGTGGTACCGGAGTCTATGACCCGTTTAATAGAGGATGTAAGAAGACATTGGAAGGGTTGCAATAGGATTCAATGATGCATGCGATTATATTATTTCTGATGCAATTGGAATTTGGCAAAACCATCAAAAGAAATAGTAACCGATCTCTCAGATATATCATTGGTGGAGGCAACGTGAGCAACTTGAGGTCTTTGACCCTTATTCAAGAACTTCCGATAGTCATGTTTCATATGACCAAACTTACGACAGTTGTTACATACAATCTCCTACAAAAATCTTGTCGCTGATTATCGGAACCAAGTCTCTGAGTATTGATGCTCATCCCCTTAGCAACCTTAGAATCATTCCAACTAATTAGAGTATTGTTAAACTTGAGAACTAGATGAACCAGATGGAGGATTTTACGCACGAAGGACTCTAATAAAGGTTTCGTCCAAATAAGGGGTCTCGGAGGCAGAGAATTTGTGATTTAGTGATCCCGAATTCATACGAATGTCCATTAAGAAAGCTCGTGACACTCATCTTCTCTTGTTGAGCTCGTTGAACCTATATACTACAATAAAAGACAACTATGCATAATATCATATATGTTATAACACTATGTACTATTTTTTTTTTTCTTTTTTAACAAGAAACAAAAAAAAATTATTAAAAAATGAAAAAGACTAAAGCTCAAAATGTGATACCTTTCCACCCTCTTTGCTTTTCCAAAAAAAAAAAAAAAAAAAAAAAAAAAAAAAAAAAAAAAAAAAAAAAAAAAAAAAAAGGAAAAATCGATCCAATTCCAAGCTCACCTTGCTTTCAATCCACAAAACTAGCAAACCTCCCAAACATCCCGAGGATTCCACCTGAACCCAATTAATACCTTTTGAACCCCATAAAGATTTTACATGAAGATTCTACAATCTTTTGAGCTACTGATGACAAATTGAAATCTTGAGTCAACACTATCGGGGCAAATGCTTCACAAAAATTCTTCAGACTCCTTCGTTGGATCCATTTCCCAGACCCTGGTGTTCCAAGAAAAAATGTTTATAGTATATCAAAGAGGGATTCACACTTAAATTAATTTTTCTGAATGGTCGCCTTTGGAAAAGAGGGAATAATTTCACGGAATTGTACACTACTAGCCTTAATCATAGAAGAAAAATTGTGCAAACCGGAATGTGATGCAGATAGAAAATCATTGTCTAAAGCCTGTTTTCCTACTGGCACAATAATTTCAGAAACATTCAGATTACCAGGTGTCGGAAAAAGAGAGACTAGACCTTCAAAACAATGAGTCTTCAGCAATGGCATCATCATTATACTTGCAGACTGGCTGACAGTCAATTTTCAAGCTACTTAAACTCAAAAATGATTCATTGTCTAATTCTATAACACAGTTGGGAAGCATTTCTTCTGATGCAAAGTTGACTAAAGAGGAAGGGAGTAAGATTTTAGTACGGTTTACTTTGTCGGGTCCAATGTTGCATTGATCAATAATCGAGGGCGGTCTCTTTGGCATGGACCTCTAAATGCATCAAATTTGCCTCTTGGCTTGCCATTTATAATGGAAAATGTTGTGGGGGATATACACCCGCATCTATCGTATCCCCTTGTTCTCAAACCCTTTTTTGACAATGATTCTCTTCGAGGAAATCCTAATCCATCTTACCAAAAGGCCTTTTCAATATCCAATTTAGTAGCCACCCCTGGTTCTTTTTTCCTGACCCATTCATCAATAGCTCAGGAAATATAAATATATATAATTAGTTTCTTTGAACCAAAATGCTCACTCTATTTCTTTGACCAATATATTTTCTTTCTGATGGTCAGTTAAAAGAAAAATGCATTGATTCTCTCTGGTGGCTACCACGCGCTTCTACTACCTCGAAGAAATCTATCCACCCTCAACATTAAAGAGATCGAACAAAATTTGCATCTATCAGCTTTGTAAAATAACCTTTCAACTTATTTTCCTATACTTTCATTCGTGCTGTCTTTCCCTCTCATTTCCCCTGCTTCATTGTTCTTCCTCTTTTCTTTTCCCCCCTCCCTCGCTCTCATGATCACGAATTTTGGGCCACATCAGTATAATTAGTAAAATAGGAAACACAAGTTCTTCTACGACGTTTAACCATGGTCGCAAGTTTTTGGTCAGCCAGAAAGGAAGATGACGAAATAATTAGAGTGAGGATTTGGTGTGTAAAAATAAATAAGTTTTTCCAAAACATTTTGGCGAACAGGAAACTTCCCCTAAAATCGCCCAAGTACAGAAATTGTCTTTTATTTATGTTAGAAAGTGTTTCAGCTTCAGCAGGTTCTATATAACAGGCATGTGTCACTCGGAAAATCAATCATTTTCATCTCTGTCAAGTGTTAACCCTTTTCCAAACCACCAGAGAGAAGGAAAAAAAAAAAACAAATAAATAGCAAACAAGAAGAAATAGATGAAGAAGTAGAAGCTCAATCAACGGAAAATGCAAATTAGGGAGTAGTTAAATTCAAATATCCACGTACATCATCGTAATACTCTTTGGGAAGCCCATCAATAAGCGGCTCTTCCTTGCTCAAGCTCCTCCTTAAAACTGACCATCAAAATCACCAAAACCACCAAAATGAGAAGTTACGATAAATTCAGTATCTGAAGAGTGAATAAACAAGCTGCAAGAGAGCTAACCAGGACGAGATGAATAAAGCTTTAAGAAATAGGAGGTCGAAAGCTTCGGTAAGGTTGGGGAAGCAGAGGGTAATGGTGGAACTGGTGAGCATCTCAGCCAACGCACCTGTGCCAACATTATAGTTCCGAAACAACCAGCAAGCTGGGAAAGGACTTGGATGCTTGCACGGACGGATTTAAAGGCCAAGGGGCTGAGACCCTCGATTTAATTTTTTTTTTTTTTTTAAATAACAAGGTAAATGACAATTTAGGACTAGATATAAATATGACTTAATCAAGATAATTACTTCAGTAAATTACAAAAATGCCACTTTGTGATATGGGTGCCACCACGCAACCCGCTTTCCTTCTTTTGCCTTTTCAATTAAACAAATGTACATTTGTAGTGTGGAGATCAATCTTTTAGGGTACATTCACCTTTTATGTTTCAATTACTCGTCTTCATCTACTTGTCATGTCAATTGCTTTTATAAATTACATTTAAAATTCATTGTTCTTATTTTATGTTTTAGTTTCTTTATTTTCTGTACTTCTATTACTGTATTGTAGATTTAATTTAATTTAAAAATTAAATGGAGAGGTATTACAAAAGAAAATCGGTGGAGTCATCATCTTCATTGAATAGAAGTAATAGTAGTTCAGATAGATATCTCAAATAAGTAAATTTAGAAGATCTACAAGCATTCCAATCCAAGAATTATATATATATATATATATATATATATATATATATATATATATATATATATATATATTTT